AAATAATACTTGGTATCGTAGTGGTTTTAACCTCAAATATGAATTTTCTGAACAAAAGAATGTAAAGGGTAGAAATTTACAAAAGAACGTTGCAAAGGATTTTAAAAGTTTTGTTACCGATGTGGAGCAAAAAGACATTGGGTGAGTGCCTGTCGCACTGCTAGGTATTTGGTTGATCTTTACCAAGCCTCAATTAATGAAAAGGGAAAAGGAAAAGATTTAGAAGTGAATTTCATTGAGCATAACAATATATATCTTAATATACACCTTGATGTTGCAGATTTTTTCAAGGGTGTTGAAAAGTTTAATGGTGTTGGTGATATCCAGTCAAGAGTTTGACTTATTGTGTCCTCTTAAATAATTTACTCTAAGTGGCTATTTCCCTTTTCTATACGTAATATCCTTTTGATATTCAATAAAATAATAAATCATTTCAGAATATTTATTGAATATTTGTCTCTTTTATTTCATTTGTTTTTATTTAAGACCAAATAGACTTAGATGATGCTAAGATCAATGATAGAGACCTATATCTTGCTAACAGAGGCATAACACATACCATCTTGAGAAATTAGAATTATTTTTCGTAATCAAAGTTAGCCGAAGCTAATGTTCATACAATATTTGGTGTGGCAAAATTGATAGAAGGCTCTGAAAAACTTGCATTTTATTGCTTGGAGGAGCAAAATTATTAATACTTGACATTATATATTCTAGTAGATCAAAACAAAATCTACTAAGTTTTAAGGATATACATCGTAATGGTTTTCATATTGAAAACTTGGATGAAATTGGAATAGAATTCTTTCATGTCATAACTTTTGCATTTGGAAAAAAGGAAAATATTGGAGAAAATGTTAACCTTCTCTTTTGGATTCTATTATACATATATACATCCAATAGAATCCAATGCTATGCCTAATCAGAAATTAGTCAATTCAGATGCTTTTATCCTTGGCATAATCAACTTGGTCATTCAGGTACTATTATGATGGGGAGAATTATAGAAAGTTCACATGAATACCCATTAAAGAACTTGAAAATTTTATTATCAAGTGATTTTTCGTGTGTTGCCTGCTCCCTTGGTAAATTAATTACCAGGCCTTCTGTAACTAAAATAGAAAATGAATCTCTTCCATTTTTGACTGAATTCAAGAGATATTTGTGGACCTATAAATCCACCATCTTGACCATTTTGATATTTTATGATGTTGATAGATGCTTCAACAAGTTGATCACGTGTTTGCCTATTAACTATACACAATGTTGCAATTATAGACTTCTTGCACAAATACTAAAATTAAAGGCACAATTTCCTAATTATACAATAAAAAGGATTTGACTTGAAAATGCAGGAAAATTTACATCCCAATCATTTAATTATTATTGTATGTCAATTGGGATTATTGTTGATTATCCAGTTCCTCATATACCTACACAAAATGGTCTAAATTTCTTATTAAGCGTTTGGAATTAATTGTAAGATCGTTGCTTATAAGATCAAAGTTACCCTCTTCTACTAAGGGTCATGTTATATTGCATGTTGTAGCATTAATTTGATTAAGACCAACTGCTTATCATAAGCATTCACCATTACATCTTGTTTCTGGAATTGAACAAAATATATCCCATTTAAAGATTTTTGGTTGTGCTGTATATGTTCCTATTGCTCCTACACAATGCACTAAAATGAGTCCCCAAAGAAGGTTGAGAATTTATGTTGGTTTTGAATCACCATCTACAACTAAATATCTTGAACCAATGACCAGTGATCTTTTTACAATAAGATTTGCTAATTGTCATTTTGATGAAAACTTGTTCCCAACATTAGGGGAAGAGAAACAAAAGTTGAAAAAATAGGAATTAACTTGTGATGTATTATCTATTTCTCATTTAGATCCTCGAATAAGTCAAAATGAACTAGAAGTTCAGAAAATTATTTATTTGCAAAAGATTGCAAATTAATTGCTTAAGATTGCAAATTAATTGCTTGAGATTGCAAATTAATTGCTTGAGATTGCAAATCAATTGCCTGATGCATTCACCGATACAAATAAAGTAACTAGTTCCCACATCCTAGCTTTGAATGCTCTTACTCGAATTGATATTTTTGTTGAAAAAGGTGCTAAAACAATAGCAAATATATCTACCATACATTAAAAGCGTGGTAGACTTGTTAGTTCCAAAGTTAAAAATCCAAGAATAAAGAGAAAGCAAAATGTTGGTTGCATTGAAATTGTAGAGACTCAAGAGTTCTCTAAACAACAACCAGAAAATGCATCTAAAAGAATAATCCTAGAAATGGTTCAAGTACTTAAAAACAATGAAGATGCAAAAATTATAGATAATGATGAGATTTCAATAAATTATATTTTCACTAAGATAAAGTGGAATCAAAATGATGTTGTCATTGATGATGCTTTTGCATTTGCAATAACAAATGATGTAGTCAATGAAAATGAAGATCTTGAATTGAAATCCATTGAAGAATGCCAACAAAGAAGTGATTGGCTAAAATGGAAAGATGTAATTCAAGTAGAATTGAAATCATTAGAAAAACGCCAAGTTTTTGGACCAATTGTCCAAACACTCAATAATGTAAAGCCTGTCAGTTATAAATGGGCGCTCGTGAGAAAACGAAATGAGAAAAATAAGGTTGTGAGATATAAAGCCAAACTTGTAGTTCAAGGCCTTACACAGATACGTGGTATTGATTATGAGGAAACATATTCTTCTGTGATAGATGTAATTACATTCAGGTTTCTAATAAATTTATCAATTTTTGAAGGCCTTCAAATGCACCTCATAGATGTTGTAACTGCTTACTTATATAGATCACTTGACAATAACATTTATATGAAAGCTCCTATTGGACAAAAAATGCCTAAAGTATACAACTCAATTCCAAGAAAGATATTTTCAATAAAATTAAAATGGTCTTTGTATGGGTTGAAATAACTAGGGCTAATGTGATACAATCACCTAAGTGCATATCTCTCAAAAGAAGTATATGAAAATAATCCTATTAGCACATGTGTCTTTACCAAAATGTCAAAACTTGGTTTTGCTATTACTGTTGTATGTGTTGATGATATAAATATCATTGGGACACTAGGAGAGCTTAAAAAGACAATTGAATGTTTAA